ATGATTTTAAGCAATCTCATGTCTTCACAGGCCTAGGAATTTTTATGAAATCTGTCAATTTGTCCAGAACAGCATTCTGTTAGATCTAGCTGCTTTCCCACCATGTCCCTGTGGTTATGAAAAAGGCATCTCAAATACAAGTAGTCTAAAACTGTGCTTTGGAAGTATCTTCTCCATGCTCTTCAAAGAACTACCCTTGCTAGATCTGTTTGATAGATGGATCTCCTCTCATTCTACATTTACTGAACAGGAATCATAGCCGTTTGTTTATCTGCTTCTTTTACATGCTTGTTCATCCTATCTGTAGTGCTTCTCAGAATATACTTTAAGCCCACCTTCTATATTAATGTGATGAATAACTTCTGTGATTGATGTTTGCTTTGTTTCAAGGAATGACCAACATAAAATGTGAGTAACTGTTCATATTCCTTCTAGAAATTTCCATGGTTTCCCACCTTAGTCAGGACAAAAGCCAGCTGATCTGGTCCATGCTCCCTTGGTGGCTTTATTGCCTCATGTACTCATTTACTCATTTAACCTGAATTTTCTTTGTCTCTTTCCCGTTTTAAAGTCTATATACTACAGTGTTATCTTAAGAATGCCTTGTTTATCACCCTTATCTCTCACCTGCCCTAAAGTGAACCTTCTTGCTATTCCTCATTTTCCCGCAAAGTTCTATTTAAAATAGAACTTTGTGTGTGTGTGTGTGTGTGTGTGTGTGTGTGTGTGTGTAATTTTACTTCATTAACATTATTTCTGAATCAGAAGGTTGACTCAGTAAAGGTTGGGATTAGTCTGCTCTATGAGTGTTCCCAGTACCTAGAAATGTGTCACACACACAATACAGTTTTCAGACATACTGATGAAGGAAAAAATGATTGATTCTCTTAATTTTTGTATGTGACACAAATTTCTAACAACAGAATATAACTTCAGAGTTCATCTTTTCTAGTAATGGCATGAGAAAAAAGCTTCTTTGTTGTTGAAAGAATATTTGAGTTTGCAGTATATAAGTAGTGATTTAATTTACTTTACTATTCTAATATTTATGTTTAAATAGTCAGGGGATCCATTTTATCTTAGTTTCTTTGAAATTGATGTTACATTTATCATTTTTAAATAATTTGGATTATTCACTCAATGTGTTTCTTGAAGGCTACTAGAGTTGATATATACTAATTTCAGTAAGTCTCTTAAAATTATTCTAAATCCTTGACATTCTTAGTCTTTATTCTTTATTGATCTTTAGAGTTATTTAATTTGGACACAGACTAAAATATTTCATTTATAGAATATTTTCATAAATATTGGCATTTGAAAGAAATTGAGACCTGAAATGTGTAAGTTGGTTGTAGATGAAAAGTTAGAGAGAGAGGTAATATACAAGATATACAAGATAGTATTGAAGAAGATAGGATCACATTTATGAAAAGTTCTGTACTTTTGGAGGCCAAAGCAACAAGGGAACTGCTACCTCTTCATACTTCTTCCTGGCCCTGTATTATAATATTCAGTATATGTGCCTAGTTGTTTGATTTTGAAGAACTAATCCATATTAGTAATGGTATGGGGTATTTCCTGTTCTCTTCAGCTGCTAGTTTCCAGACGCCTTGTATATGGGGATGCTAAATATTCACTGATTCAAATATATAAGAATATACAAAACTTACATTTTTGTGGCTGTAGTGCTTTTGAGGATCAACTGGCACTCCCCTGTGTCTGAAATAATAGCCCATTCAATGTAATTAATCAGCTAATGGTACAAAGCTTAACTGATAAATGATGAAGGGATATGGAGCAGAAATAGTGTATTATGCGTAGTTTTCCTGCCAAAAGCACCTATGAGAAAGCTAGAGTTCATCATAGGAAACTCTTGGCTGTTCTTTAGACTTAGACTCTAAACTTATAGGTAATGTAACTTTTAAGTAATTGACATATTTCATGATAAGCATTTGTGTGTTTCAAGGAGTCCTCTGTTATTTTGTTAAATCTAGCTTCCTATGACAGAGCGAGGTCTGAGAGTAGGCTGACTAATAAGAGTGGGAGCCCTAGGAAATGAGGCATTCTGATAAGGAGTTTGTCTTAAGAATTGGAACAGAAAATATGCTCCTTCAGGTTCCAAATGGGAAAATCTGATCCAGAAGAGGTTTTTAACCTGAGGGTTTAACCCTGAAATGGAAACATGTAAAAGTCTTGTTTGGAAGGAAGCAAAAACCCTGTTCACAAAACAAAATGCGATGATTTTAAACTCAGAGTCTGAAGGGAATTCAAAGTGTCAGTGTTTGGTGGGTAGTGCAGTGCCTGCTCAGAGGTGTAAGGCCTAAACACACACCAAAAGTAATCTTTATGTGTGTATCCCTTTCCATTTTGTTAAAATTGATGATTTTTTTTCTCCTGCATTTCTAGTGTCCTGTGACTTTCTTATGGTCAGTGAGCTGACACAAGCAGAGGGTATACTTGGGGATTACTTTTTCTAACCAAGTGTATCAGTATGCCAGACTTTTTCTTGGTCTCTCTTTTATCTTTGTTGTCAAACAGAGTTTTTATTTTATTTAAATATTAAATACTGAGCATGCTGCTGCAGTCTCTATGAGTTCATATGTGCATCGGTCATATGCAATTGCAGGGCCTTATTTTCTTGGTGTCCTTTATCACCTCTGGTTCTTAAGATCGTTTTGTCTTCTCAGGGTTCCCTGAAACTTGAGGGCTCAGAATTGAAGGTAAATCCACTGAGGACTGGGTGTTTAAGGTGTCTTGTTCTCCACTTGTGGCTTTCTGTATTTGTTCCCATTTCCTGCAGAAGGAAGCTTCCCTGATGATTTCCAAGCAAGACCCTGATCTATGAGTAGAATGTCACTAAGAGTCATTTTATTGCTGTGTCCCTTAGGAGAACAATTGTACTTGATTTTTTCCCCCCTAGGTCCCTGGCCTATCTAGTACCAAGTTCTTGGCTACCCAAGCATTGTTGGGGAAGGGTCACATCTCATGGAGTGGGCCTTAAATCCAATCAGATGTTCGTTGGTTAGTTCTACTATTACACTTGTGCATCTTGCAAGGAAGAACATATTGCAGATCGAAGGATTGGCGTTTATCTTTTTCGCTTTCGTAGCAGGTGAAGGCCCTAAAGTAAGCAGCAGCTCTGCATCTCTGTTCAATGAGTTGTGTGGCTGTTTTCTTCAGCAATAGAGCCTTACCATCAGTTTGTGGATAGCACCAGTAGCTTTGGCAGTAGCTTGAATTTTTTGGTCAGCAGGTCGACTAGATAAAATCCATTCCCAGCACTGGAGGCTTCATTTGTTAATGAGAGATTGTTCAGTTGGGGCTGTTTCTCCATTATTTAGCAATTCCATTTAGATTACCTTTAATTATGTATATATTTTAGTAAACTACTGTATTAGACTTCTATAGGACTCCTCAAATGGCCCTTAGTTTTGGCTGTCCCTCCATGTATTCCTTCTCTCACCCAACTCTTCCCTGCCTTTTTCATCTGATTGTCCTGATCCTGTACCCCCAATAAAAGTCAGTATTCTAGACCTTTTCATGAGTTTGCATACTTTCTGGCTTAGTACCTGACCACCCTTCCTGATGCTGAAATGACTGCCTGTCCCTTCCTCATGCTAAAATACCTTAGATTTCTGCATATCATACATATTGAGCTAGTTATTGATAAATTGGGAGCTTCTTGATAATGAGCAACAGTTTAAAGAACACCAAAACATTTTCTTTCATGGCTGTTAAAGATGTTATAAATGATCATTTCCTTCTTATAATATCAGTTATATATGAATTGTATGAATATCAGTTTATTACTCTAAGGCATCTCTTCGAAGGTACGTTTTTCTTTTCTTTTTTTTTTTTCTTTTTCTTTCTTTCTTTTTTTTTTTTTTTTGAAATATTTTCCCCCTGAAGAAAGAAATAATATTGCTTAAAAGTGTTGTTGCCTAGGACTTTGAAGAAAGTTGGGTGTGTTAGCACAAATACTGTGGACTGTGAAAGGAGAGGCATTAGGTGGAAGGCCAGCTTTTTCTACATAGCTGACCCTCAAAACAAAACAGAAAACAAGAAAAATTGTGTTTGAATAGAATTTAATGCATTTTTAAACTATTTTGATTCCTTCTGCATATGCATGTTCATTTAAGACGTTACACATGGTGTTGCTTTAAAGATAGTTTTGCAATTTATATTTTGAGAACTTATTTTGGCTTTGTATTTTTTTTGTCAGGTCACATGTGCAGAACTTTCCATGGGAAGTTTCTTTACGTTTTAAAGCATTTACTGAGCAGTATCATCATTACAGTGATTGATCAGGATTGGTCTTCAGAATGATCGTGATTATCTGTTTCTTTTAGGAGAAGTTTGGTGTCATTTCAGTTTAAACCAACTTGTGGAATTTTTCTTCACTCAGTTGAAAAAAAACTAAATTTCATATTCATATTTAGCATTTCTTTAGTCTTTTCTAGAAGTTGTTCTATCTTGAAACATTATATATTCCACAAGAAACTACTTTGATCTTAGATCTTACACAAATAAAGTTATATTTTGTTACATTAAAGAATACCTTAAAATTTAGTAACTTTGAAATAACATCCAGTTATCTTGGGTTTTTTGAGGTAGGCACATCTAGACATGGTTCTGCTGTACCCTGCTTTAGAATCTCACAATGCTGCAGTCAAGGTGGCAGTTAGGTCTGAAATCGCACATGAAGTCTTGATGTGGGGAGGATCTATGTTGAATGATCTGATAGTCATTTTAGTTCTCACTCCAGCTGAACCACCCGAATACCAGCTCTTTGTATTCTCTTACTGTTTGTGTGTGTGTGTGTGTGTGTGTGTGTGTGTGTGTGTGTGTGTGAGAGAGAGAGAGAGAGAGAGAGAGAGATGGGTGGGTGTGTGGATGGGTGGAATATGTGTATGTGCAGAGAAAGGGAGAGTGACAATGTATGTTAGCATTTTTGTCCATTATCAAAACTACAGTACATGTGTTTTCTGTTTCCTTTATAGGTGCCTTAGCTGGATCAATTATCGTGGAGCCACATGTCACAGCAGTGTGGGGAAAGAATGTTTCTTTGAAGTGTTTAATTGAAGTGAATGAAACTATAACACAGATTTCATGGGAGAAGATACATGGCAAAAGTACACAGACTGTTGCAGTTCATCATCCTCAATATGGATTCTCTGTTCAAGGAGACTATCAGGGAAGAGTCTTGTTTAAAAACTACTCACTTAATGATGCAACAATTACTCTGCATAATATAGGCTTCTCAGATTCTGGAAAATACATATGCAAAGCTGTTACATTCCCACTTGGAAATGCCCAGTCCTCTACAACTGTGACTGTGTTAGGTAGGTGCGCTTGAGTTGGGTTTGATTATTATGATAAATATTAAAATGTTTTCAAGAGTATAAAATGAGGCTTTCTGTAAATTTGATTTAAATTAAAAACATTCTGATATGTTTTCTCAAATTCTGTGTATTTCTAGGCTCTCTTAATATAAGCGAAGTCTGTGTGTACCTATCTGTAATGCTGCATAATTTTAACTTTTTGTCATAATAGGTGGCACATTAGTTATAATAATGGATGCCGTTTTCAGCTGGGCATGGTGACTCACACCTGTAATTCCAGCTCTTGAGAAGCTGAAGCAGATTATTGCCATAAACTCCAGGTTAGCTGGGACTACAGCATTAAATTCTGTTCTTAAAACAAAATCTGAGATCTTATAACACTTTATTACGTCCTTCAATTTTAAAACTTTAGTTACATTTTGTTTAAATTGTTCCTGTTTTTTTGTTTTTCTCCAATGAATTGCATTGGCTTTTTTGGAGCATTTGCCACCTTGTATTTCAGCTTTTCACAATGATTGTTATTTCTGCCTTTGATGACTTGTGTACCTATTTGAATTATATACAGTTTTCCATAAAGAATTATATTTCACTGTTTTCTACCTGAATTATTAGAGTTTATGGTGAAACTTGGAATAAACCTGTTAGCATTGTGGTAATAACTCCCAGAAGTGGAGTGTAAAACAACTGGAAATGCAGAGTACTGTAGTAGTCATAGATCTGGGGCGGAAGAGCAACAACAATCTGTAGCTGTCGTGGAGGAGAGGCACTGCTCCTTTCCTCCTTTAGAAAGCCTCATTGCTTAGCTAGAGGAGCCCACACCTTTCCCTAAGACCAGTAAAATTTCCTTAGAAAGATAAAGGGCAAATTGGTGAACATAAGAAATATTTTGTAAAAGGAATGGTTGTTAGTCCTTAACTAATGGGTAGTTCAGGTTTGGCACATAGGAAATTTAGGTAAACCTATTGGATTGAACAGAGGGCTAAGTCTTAGAGACACTTAGCACAAAGTTGCTTAGCACAAAGTTCTTAGTTGTTGAATGTGAGAACTAAATTTGTTGAGGATTCTGTCCTATTCATCATAAAGTGCTTTGCAAATTCATGGACTCCACCCCACCAAATGCTAGTCACACTCGTTGTGATGAAAATCTCTCACCACACAAATGCTCTTTGAGAAAGTATAGGATAGAAGGAATTGATATGGTTGGAAATGGGCCACTGAAAAAGTAATTTGTCAGTTGAGCAAAGTATTTGTATGAAGTATAAGACATTTTAAATCTGGAGCATATGGAAATAACTTGAATGAATGGAAACATTGATATTTTTATTGTAAATGTGAGCTTGTGCTCTTGCCTCATCTGTTCCCAAGCCCTTGCTTCTTAAAGTTAATTCATAGGCCAGCAGCCTTGGTCTCACTTGGAAGTGTATTAGACACAGCATTTGAGGCCAAGCAGGAAGATTGCTTAGCAGAGGGCATCTATCTGTACAGAGAAGCCAACTGAAGGTATAAAACTTCTTGTAGATGACCAAGGAAAAGTAACAAACAATATTATTATATTTTGACTATCAATATACATGTTTATCAAGGAAAAGAAAGCTTTAATGAGTATATTTTTCAGGCTAGCTCTTCTACTGGGGTGTTTGGAAACCCAAAGTAGACAATGAAGAGTGTGAGTACATTAGCACTGGGAGCAGATGAAAGTATTGAAAATAACCTTGCTCTGAAAGCTGATTCATCCTGGAGATACTGAATAATTAGGAAGAAACAGTATAATGCTCAGATATGATTTGGAGTTTATAGAAGAGAGAGATGGCTTCTCAGCCTTGGGCTAAGATCAAATGAAGCAAGAGGCAAAGTCTTAAGTGTAGTTCTGGCCAGTATGGAGTGTCTTATCTCATCATGTGCTTTGTATCTCAAATATTTGCGCTCTCAGAATAGTAGTAAACTCAAAAGTAAGTCATGTTTGAAAAGCCATAGATCCAGTATGTATTACTCAAGTCAGCTACACTTGAGAAAATCCTGGCCTATTTAGTTTATGGTAGCTTTGCATAAAGAAAGCAATATTTCTGAAAGGCATACCTTTAGTCTGAAAGTATTTTCTACATGAATAGTTTAGATAATAGTCTGCAATATACTCGAGGCCCATCAATCTTACAAGAGAGAAAGGTCAGTCCTCAACTCCCCGTACAAATAACAGAACAGAAACAGACTCATGTCTGGGGTATGGCTCAGTTGGTTCAAGTGCCTTGCATACATGAGGGCTGGTTTTGGCCCCCAGGTGCAAATAAATAGACCATATCATGGGGGTACATTCTTGTAATTCCTGCATTCTGGAGGTGGAGGCAGGCAAAACAGAAGCTCAGTCACAGCAAGCCAGAGAATGAGTTTGAGCCCCACCTGGGATACATAAGACTGCCTTTAAAAGCACACAAATTGATCTACACATACATAGGATTCTGGGATTACCAGAGACTTCTAAACAATATTACTTGTATTTTTTGGAGAAATGCATCAATCTTTAAATTTATGAAAAAAAAAAAAACTAGAAACAAGCTAAAATCACATAATAGTTGGCCTCGAATTGGAGAATGTCTTTGTACATAGTCAACCATCAAAGTAAATAAAAACAGATAACTCAGTACCTTTGAATTAACTTTTTAAAAAAGGACTGGGGATGATAAAACTCAATGAGTCTAGCATCTACAGGACCTTGGTTCATTTCCCGAGTATCTCAAAACAAAGAGAATAGTAGATTGGGAAGCCTTCCAAACTGATAGAAGAAATTGTTTCCCAAGATTTTGTACAGCCTTCACATATAAGATCAAAAAGTAACCTCAATATATATTTGTGAAAAAAAGAAGTTGAAAATGACCCTCATTCATAACCTGGGAAATTTAAATCTTGATGATGTGTCATATCATATATGAGATTGGAATACTGAATAGTTTAATAACATTTGTTGGTGAATATATGGATCTTAAAGTTTGCAAGTTAACTGGCACCTGAAGTAAGTTTAGTTGAAGTTGAAAATAATCATGATAGAAGCAGTTCTAGTATTTGAGGCAAAGCAGAGAAACTTGCATATAAATATATCAAGATATGTATATGAATGATGGTTATATAACTAGGAAAGATAGGGAAGGATCCTAGTATCTACCAGTAATAAATTTTGGTGTAAGTAAATGACTTATTGTATAAATAAATTCTACAATAATAAAAGTTCCATGTGGATCTAAATCATGGAAAAATAGTTGAACTGAGTTTAGAAACAACAAAGCTAAATAAATGAATCTATTGAATACAAAGTTGAATCAAAAAAAACCTGTACAAATAAAGCACAGCAGTTCTGTTATACACTGCAGGTACTGGTAAAGTAAGCCTCTCTGGTTTGGATTTGCCTTATTGATTCTAACGAGAAGATATTTAAAAATTCATTTACCAAGTTAGAGTAATGGTTCCACTTTAAAGTAGACAGGTTAAGATGAGAGATAAGGACCTTGTAGGTTGCTCATGTTCTTAGTTTAGATGGTGGTGGTTATGTGAATATTTGCTATGTTTATTCATTACAAATGTTTCTTTTCTTTCCCCTTTGTTTCTCAGTGAAGATGTACATGAGGAAATCTTTTAATAACCTTTAAAGTAAAATATAGAGTAATAATAGGTATGATAAGAGATAGAGCAACACCAGTAACTTAAAGTTTATTTGCTTTATACTTTTTGCTTAAAATGGAGTAAGATACATGTATATATAATGTATATTTAAAGTATAAAACTTTTTAGAAGTAACGGCTTTAATATCATAAAGGAAATTATGATTGGGGGGTCACAGAAATCTTTTTTCTTTTTTTTATTTATTTAAATTTTTCACTTTGCCTGGAATATTTTCTTTTTTTATTTTATTATTTTATTTTATGTAACAAAGTCCAATTAAATGAAAACAAACATTTATACACAATATTTGGGAATTTGGGCGTCGTTCTTTCCAAACTACTTCCTGCTGGTAAGGGGCGCTGTCATGGGGGATTCGAAGAAGATTCAGAAATCCTGGCTGTAGTCTGTAGGGCTGCCATGGAAATCTTTTAATTGGGTTTTATTTCATTCATCTCCAAAGGTAAAGCTTTATCAGGGACAGCTCTCATCTTTGTGATGATAATTTAAAACTTATTTTGGGAATGCAGTTGATGTTGGCATTACTTATAAAAATACTTGTATGGTTTTGTTTGGACTTGTCCCTAAGATTATGAAGTATTTCTAGATGTACAAATTGCAAGTACTTAATTGAAGTACAACTTTTTCTTCTTTTTTAAACAGTTGAACCTACGGTGAGCCTCATAAAGGGGCCAGATTCTTTAATTGATGGAGGAAATGAAACAGTCGCAGCCATTTGTATAGCAGCCACTGGAAAACCAGTTGCACACATTGACTGGGAAGGTGATCTTGGTGAAATGGAATCTACTACAACTTCCTTTCCCAATGAAACAGCAACGATTGTCAGCCAGTACAAGCTGTTTCCCACGAGATTTGCTAGAGGAAGGCGAATTACTTGTGTTGTAAAACATCCAGCCTTAGAAAAGGACGTCCGATACTCTTTCATCCTAGATATACAGTGTAAGTACTGGCAGGGTCTGCTTACTACACATCTAGTGTAAGGGCATACCAGCATCTACTTTCAGCTTAAGCTACACACCAAGTCTTCTCTTGTTGTCCGAGTTCTTGAATACTGAGTATGCAAACATTTCTGTAGCAGAGTTGCTCAACTTAAACTTGCTAAGTGGTGTCCTTTAGAGACTTTAAAGTAGGCTACCCTTAAGCAAGCTGTGGTAACAAGTAACTCAGATGTGTATTACTTAAAAGATAAACAACTGCATTGTGTGTAACTGGGCTGCTGACCCTGTCCTGGGTCTTAACTTTTCTTAGTGAGAGTTATTTACATGGGAGGTGATGGCACACACCTTTAACCCTAGCACTCAGAAGACAGAGGCAGGTGGATCTCTGAGTTCCTGGATAGCCTGGTCTACACAGCAAGTTTCAGGACAGCCAGGGCTACACAGAGAAACCCTGTCTGGAAAAACAAAACAATCTTTTACTTTCCAGATACATTTTAACTAGTTTGAAAATCTGTCTTTCTTCAGTATTGTTCTAAGTTGATCTTACAGATAGTATCATACAATTTTTATGTAGTTAAGATATTTTAAAGCTATCATTTGTGATAGTGAAAATTACATACAAGAATCAAAGCTGCCTACTTTGTACTTAAAAGTTTTGAGTTCTCTCACCTGGGTTTATATTTTTATGTGTGTGTACATTGCACTTTTCAGCTGTTTCTGCTTTTGATGCATTGTGATTTGTTTAGGATTTTACATTTTTGAATAAAAATGGCAATTGCTTTTTCTCAGCAAGAGTGACTATCATTATTCAGATTGTTATTGTCTGCTGTCTTCTCTGTTGGGGTTTTGAATTTATTTTATTATTGATAACTTTTTGGTGAAATGCTGTACTTAGGAGTTTAAATTACACTGTTACACTTAAATAAAATTGATTATGCTGTATATATACTAAAGACCCTTTTGGCTTCAGTAAATAGTTTTATTACCAATGAAGCCCTAGATACTATTTCACTTGTATATAGTTTCAAAAAATGTATGCCACAGCTCTACATGTACACAGAATATTACTTAATTGTAATGTATGAATCTTGTTTCTTTTAGATTAAACTTCCTTTTTAAGACAGTTATATAAGGTACTTAGACCTCTAAGACAGTACCTAAATGCCATGTCTCCTTATTTAATTAAGTACTATAATGTATTTGTTTTGTTTATGTCTGTATCTTTCATAGTAGTCTTATGAAGTCTTATATTAACATCTCTGCTAAATAAAGCCATGGGTGTTTTTGTTTATCTGGTATCTGAATTCCATTCACCATCCACTCACCCATCCATTGTCATAGTCAGTTACTATTAACTGAATATTGTCTTCCTGGGTGATTATGTTGAAAGTAAGGAAAAATAATTTCCATTCTTCTAAAGCTTATCCATTGCATTTATATATTTTCATTGTATAGTGTATTTACTCCTAACAAATGATGTTTGTGACTGTGTTCATTGATTTTATAGATGCTCCTGAAGTTTCAGTTACAGGATATGATGGAAATTGGTTTGTAGGAAGAAAAGGTGTTAACCTCAAGTGTAATGCTGATGCAAATCCTCCACCCTTCAAGTCCGTGTGGAGCAGGTAATTCAGAGTTAAATCCACAGTAGCTGATTGTTTAAGGGAGAGCAGTATTCTTAAATGCATTAAGATTGATTTTAATCAGTACGGTGCATAATTAAATTAATAGCTGAAGAATAAACCAAGGAAAGCTTTCTCAGTATTTTTCTACCCTCTTGCTGTCTCTCACCATCCTGTCCTCGCATTTCTGTTCTTTACTGCCAACAGTGTTAGGGATTTTAGCTTTTTCTTTTTTTCCTCTAATTGCTATCATAAGTCTGATGAAGGCTAGCCAGCAGAGAGGAAGCTTCCACTGCAGCTTCAGTTTGGTTTTACTGTATTCTGTAATTAGGGTATGTGGTATCTTCAGCAGTAGTCTTACCTAATTCAGATACACAACCGAAGGAAATGGCAAGAGGTCATATTGTCTGGGGCCTCTAGTTCCTAGCCAGCTAGCAGCTTATAAAGAGGCATCTCATATCTAGCACTGGGATTGTTTAGTGATTAATGGCTTTTCGGAGCAGCACTATCCAAGCCTTGCAGGAAGGCTCTATTCTAACTCTTGTTTTTGGCCTACATTTAAGTTAGTGAGGCTCCATATGGCCTTTTCATATATACTTTATTGAGATTACCCCTTCCTGTCATTAAGATAAACCCTCCCTGTCTCATCCCTACTTTCCCTACCCTTAACTTTCTTCAACTTTCCATCTTTAGTGTTCTTCTCTCTATTTGCTTCAATCTGATCTAAGCAATTCTTCAGTTTCTGTTTTATGTGACTTAAAGCCTTATCAGACTGACAGTTAAAGCAATCTAGGACTTAGCTCCAGCGCCTGTTTTTAAATTCGATTATTTTGATTTTTGTTTTATTTTCTTGCATGTGTATTGTGTGTATATGTGTGTGTGTGTGTGTGTGTACATAATACATACATATATATATACACTCTACAGATACATAGCTGGCAAAGATTTTCATAGAATGGGCTTTTCTTTGCAGTACACAAGCTATTTAATTTCATGAAGTTCAATTTGTCAGTTGTTGGCTTTGCTTTCTAAGAGAATCAAATCCTGGTTAAGAAACTTTTGCCTATGACTGCATCTTGTAGCACATCACCTTCCTTCCCCTGCAACAATTTCAAGGTTGATTGTTTTCTGTCTCTTATCCATTTAGAGTTGGTTTCTGTGCCAGGACTGATCTACAGATGTAGTTTCCCTTGGCAGTGAATGGTGTTGAGACCAAGTAATAGTTGAATGGTCAGCCTTGAATAGGACATTTATACAATCTCAGCAAATTCTCAGGGAATATTTTGAAGAGTGGGTGGGAAATGAAAATCAAGAAGATGGGGAGAAGAGCTGGCAGCCTATTCTTACCCTACACAAGATTTGACCTGTCACCAGTCAGTCGTTCATCAAGAAGGGACTCATGAAACCCAATCCCTGCTTACTGAACTATTGGCTATCCTGTATTCTGGAGAAAGGGACAAAATGTGTTGTCTTAAGTTAGGTACCCACAGATGAGCCCACTAGGCTCCAGTGGATTGCTCCAAATCCATGGTCACACCAATAGCCTTGGTTAAACTCAGTGTTCCACAAAAAGACGTGAATAGGAAAAGTGACTCGTGAGGGGTGGGGCAGAAGGTTTGGAGCTTCAGAGATGGTAGAGGATGACAGTTATATGTAACTGGTGAAATTATGGAAGAAATGTAATAAAAGCTATGAAAACCTCCTTGTTATGTGGACCTATCTATACATACATATATTTTCTAAAGAAGTGGGTGTACTTAATGGACATGGACTATTCGTCTTTGTTGAAATGAAATTTATATGCATTCACAATTAATTATATCCAAAAGATAAGAGTTTTATTGGCATCTTAAAAGTATAACAGTTTAAATAATTGTCAGATTTGCTATTTTAAGCTATTTAAAATAATGTTATGCTTTTTAAACATCTAGGTTGGATGGACAATGGCCTGAAGGTTTATTGGCCTCCGACAATACTCTTCATTTTGTCCATCCACTGACTTACAATTATTCTGGTGTTTATGTCTGTAAAGTAACAAATTCCCTTGGTCAAAGAAGTGATCAAAAGATCATCTACATTTCAGGTAAGTTATTGCCTCCTTCAAACAGCAGTTAATGTAGTACTAGCTTAATAATTACAGTGTAATACTGTGCAGTAATTTATGCTCATAACAGTTCAGATTTGTTAATAGTAATAGCATCTAAAGTATGTATATAAAGTGCATGTCTATAAAATAATGTCAAAATGTATATGCAACAAGTTCTATATATTTCTTCTGATAGCATGCCTTTCAAATTCTTCAGTGTTTAAATAATGACCAGTGGGTTTTTTTGTTTGTTTTTGTTTTCTTTTTCTTTATTGGCTGCTTTGCATGTAATTGTCTGATAAATGAAGTGGGATATTAACTTTGTTAATTTGGCTTCAGAAATAACATTGCTTGCCCCTGGAGATGAGATGGCCATTTTAGGTTAATGAGAGATGAAGTAAGAATGAAACTGTGTATTAATGAAGTGAAATTTGGTATTTTTTTGTCAGTATTTAAGCTCCGAAAATATTTATTTTTCTATATACTGTTTGTTTCACTATGTAAGTTGTTAATTTGGTTCAATACAAATTTGAGCATTCACAAAATACAAAAACGGAATCCACATTTTTTTTTAATTAATAGCTTTAAGTTACCCATGAGGTACTAATGTAGGAAAAATACATTAAATATTTGAGTAATTCTTAATGATCAAAAGGTTATAGCAGTCTTCACATCTAGGACATGGGAAATGAGGATGGTCAAAAGGAGGACTTTGAGATGAAGGTTTGTATTATGGAATGGATAGTAATGGCGTTCAATCTCTTCAAATCTATGACTAAGTTATGGATTTTAGAAAGCACATGCTTTCTAAAAGGAACATAAAGCTGTGTACATCCACATTCAGCTCTTTAGTAACAACACTGTGATGGACAGTTGATCAAAGTATATGAGTTTCTTTTTTCCCTTAAAGGACAAGCTCTAGTCAGTGTATATTTAATTTATATTATAAACTTAAGTTTTAGTTTCCTAGGAGTATTTACCTTTTGTTCCCTTTACATGGCTTCCTGTGGGGTATTTGATCTTAGCTCCAAGTGTTGTTATTGAATCTTCTTTACATACCAGTTTATGTTGCTCTTTTAAGTGTATATACTGAGTCCATTGATGATAGCCAAACTTAGACTTTCTGAGTCCCAGAAAGGAACCAGGTTATGTGTTTGTTTAAAAATCTCTACCTTTGTTTTAGTTGTCCACTTAGAATCATTAATTATTTGCAGAAATTGAGCAGGCATTTTCAACTCACCTTGTTCAAACCAAGTTCTGTCCTGACTGTTCTCGTGCCCCTTGGTCCAAACCTGTTTCTCAGTCCCTCCTTTCATTTGCTTGTGAGTTGTCATATTCACTCGTCCTTTTTAGCAACCTTCTTTCCATTCTTTGTTCTTTACTCTACTCAGTCCATCAACAAACCTGTGTCTGTATGGGTATGGAGCATGACCTGCTCTACACCTCTCTTTTGCTATTGCTACTTTGATCCAGAACAACCAGAAATTTTAACCTACAAAGCTGTTTAGCTCCCTCTGTGGCCCTGTCACCCTTCAGTGTGTGTGTAATCAGATGAGCAGCCAGTCATACTTTTAAAGAGTGGATTACATTATGTCACTCCTTCCAAAAACCTGCCTTGAACTTTCCTTACCCATGATAAAACCTAGGTGTGCACAGTGTGCATTCTTCCACATCCTGTCATCGTCTGTGCTCCTTGCTCACTGGTTCATTCACACTGTCTTCCTTCTGCCTCGGAGCTTGCATTTTCTATCTCTGTAGCCTGGAGTAACTCTCCACAAAATCCATCTTCTTTCTATGGTTCTCCTTACCCTTTTACTACCCCCTGACCTCTGACTCATCCTTCTCTTTGGTACTTGTCAATACAGCATACTTTTTTTCCATAGGCTTATCGTTTTTTATCCTCATTAGAAGTTAATTCTTAAAGGGTAGGGATTATTTTTATCTATTTTAATCATGGCTATATTGCTGCCATGTCCAATAATCTATGCTATACAGTAGGTTTTCAGTGCATTTTTGTTTCATGAGTGGAAAAAAAATAGATTTAGGAAAAAATAATCTTATTTTCTTTGTTTAGAGAACTGGTGACTAATCCTTTTTTTAAAATTAAAACCTATTAAGTGTATAAAATGGGGAGAAAACTAAGTAAATGTTAATTACCTTGGAGTACCACTGAAGAAGATAACATTGTATGAGATGGTGTGTATCAAGTAATCAAGTGTTAGACTTTACCTTTCTATACATAGTGTATGGTACTGTTTTCTGTGCCAGCGGTATTACCCTCTCTATTGTTCCTTTACTATGTTAGGCACCCTACATGTGCTGGTGCATTTACAGAGGCTCCCTGTCATCAGCCTGCTGAGTTTTTATCAGAGTAAGAGGCTGTAATCACCTCAGAAAGATTTTATCTCACTATTAAATGAACATTTCAAATAAAGAATCTATGTCGAGAGTCAAAGTTTTGCTTAGAAAAAATAGTTGGCAACTCTGAAATTGTGAAACTAATTTTAATATCTTTGTTTTCTCACATTAATGGCCATCAGGCTTTGCATAGAAGGTCATGGGCTCATAGTTGTAGTATTCAGCTTAGGTTACCACACTGTACTCTAGCACAGTGTCACTCTTGCGGCTCTCAAGTGGTTCTTAGTCCAAGACTAGCTAAGTGGTAGAAATTATATTTTTCTGCTTTGCTGTTTGCCTATACTTTCACATAACTGATTTGTTATGTCTCTGAAAGTAGACCAGCAAATTACGACATTTCACATTATTACCCAGCATTCTTACTCCTCTGTAAAACTGAATTTCATATTATTGATTTTAGAATCCAAGCATACATTTGAGAATCTACAAATGACAATTTCTGATTTTAAGATTTTTAAAAATTTAAACAACCTATATATAATATTAAGAAATGGAAGTCAATTAACACAATTATCAGTAGACTAAATTGTACCTTTTGACTACAAGGACAATTCAGAATATATTATATATTGTCCTATTTGGCAGAACAATTTAATTAGTTGGTGAAACAGACTTAAAAGGCCCTTCTTTTAGCAGTGATCTCAGAATCACTTGCAGTTCTTTTTATTTATCATATTCTCAAATGTCAAACATTTAGCAAAGAATATGAAAATGTCTGATTGAAACAATAGGAATGATGATGTAATATTAAATCACTATCGATAAGTAACTGTTGGTGAGTATTAGAATTTTTTACTCTATGCATGAACTGAGATTCATTTTAGATTAAAATAAAAACATAGGTCTGTTGTATATTGCCATATATCCATTACTTAAAGTGTACAATGAAGTGTTAACTCCCTGTAGTTCACACATGGCTATGCTATCTTTAACACTGGCTAAGTAGAACAGTGAACTGAAAATTTTCTAGAGTCATTAATAAGGCTACTAAAGTTTTTAAGCATTCTGTTAGATTTTTCTGACATTTTTTTATTTTGTTAAATATGAGGAAAAAAAAACCCCAGATATCCATTTGTGTACATTTAAAGAACTTGGCAAGTAAAAAATAGTGTCAAATTTTTATCAATATATTGTAATATCATTGAGTTTTATATTTTCTACTTTGTTGGAGCTCAGATGTATACATTGCTCTAAGAAAACTAGGGCATGAGGAGCTGTCATAAGCCTTGCAAGTCTCCATGTAACAGACAAGTATAGATGTAGAAGTTTTAAATAATTCATATAGGCAGTTTGTATTTTTATTTCAATGTGCTGGAACATTTTCTTTTGCAATCATTACATTTGTACCATTGAGTAACTTAGCCGCCTGTCCCTCTCCTGAATGCGTAGCTTGTCTCAGGCAGGAGTGTAGATGTTTGTCTTATTTCTGTAGTAACTCAACTCCTCGAACCTGGATCATAGGAAGACTTACTCCTTTGCACTAACAGAATCCTTCAGTTTCACAATTGCTTTCTTCAGTGTGAACTTATTTAGCAAGAGAAGACTTATACAGTCTTCCTAGACTCACATACAAATAGCACTTGATAGCACCTGGCAACAGCTTCAAACCATAGGAAAAAGATTTCTGTGGTAATTGGTGGTTTGTGGGTTTTTTTTTTTTTTTGTTTGTATTTTTTTTTTAATATTGTACTTGCTAAATTTTTACCACATTCTATACATATGGCATTCCGTGATGAAACCTGTTTCAGTAAGTATAATTCTTTAGCTTGTGATGTTAGAATAACTTACCCCATGTAGATTTAGTATTTTCTAACAATCATTTTAAAAAAGCTCTGTCAGACCCACTCACATAAAAATTAATTTTAGGCGATTACCATTTGGGTTATTTGTTTTTATCTATGAAAAAAACTCAAACTTTTTAAACTCATCTTTTCTTTAAACTCTAGAATCTTATATAATATGGCCTACAGATACTACTTAATGGACAATTAACCAATCTTTAATTTTTACTATTTATGTTTAGTTGCTTTTTAATATTAATGGCTACTCTGTAATAAAATGTCAATAAATGGTCCATTTGCATCTAATATTTAAATATTATTAGAATGTTCTCTCTAAAATATTAGCTATTCTCTTTGACAGTCTATCTTAAAACAGTGGCATGGAATTATGCAAATATAATTTAAATTCTTTCATTTTATAAATATTCATATATGCTACCCATTGATTGTTACAGGTGATTTTTACATTGATTTTTATTTTGTGTCTGCTAGTCTCACTTGATAATAGCTCATTTGATTGACAGTTTTAAATATTCATTTTGATTTTTAAAATTATAATGGTTTTTACTATTACATATCTTCCATATAAAAGCTGTAGCAATTTTTGTTTAAGAAAAATATTTTTGAGAGAATTATTAAACCAACAACTTATATAGTATGCTCACATAACAAGATTCTATAGTTTTTCATTCTTTTAAAATATAAGTTCTGATATAAAGATGCATATTAAGAAAACATTTCATTTTTTATTGTTATTTTATTTCCTTTTGCTGCTGGCAAAGATACTTTTGAATACTT